TGCATTTAAAACGTTTCGGCGATGGAAAATTTAATTCGGACATATTCGTAATTCGAATTCGTGAATCGGCAGCCTTCGGGCTCGTTACGGGAGGAACTTTTGTATGAATGCGGGAGTAACTTTTCATTGCTACTGTTTAATACAGATACGAAATGATACTCTATTTTATGAGCGATAAGGGTCACAGTGCGTGGAGTATTGTTTACGCCGCCCGCGGCGGGAAATTTCTTCGTAGGCGACGGATTATTTAGGCACTGATGTGCACAAATATTTTTGCATGACAAATGTTGACGCGATATTTCATTTGAGAGAGGCAAAATGTTAGAGTTTTATTTCTGTAAACGCTTTGTTACCGGCCAATGTGAAGGCAAGTTTTTAATCTACATATTTTTGCAATGTGTTTCGAAGAATAGACGTCGGTGGTTTTTATTAAATACTAAAGGGATTACTTTGACAATAGATTAACTGTAACATTTTTTTAACCGGATGTAGAAAGGGCGTGTACAGATGACGGAATGTGAAAATCTATGATTTCGTTTTTACCCGACCACTGCGAAACCAAAAAAGTAGCGTTTGATTTGCATGTATGTATGTCCATCCTTATGTTTTCTCGTTATTAATAAACAGCTCAATCGATTTTAATGAATATCGTAGTGGACACATTTTAATTACACGAGTGTCACCGGGTACATAAAAATTACGATTTCGATTTCCCTAACCGATTCACCGGTGTAAATGAAATTTGAATATAATTAATAATTCTTAATTATGCATCGTAAAGACGAGCTAAGAAAGTATTTCATGTAGTTTGAGAGTATTACTTAACAGGATTCTATCGGCTTGAACTATACTTAGCTAGTATAATAAAATATGATCAAATATTTTAATTCAATTTTCATGCATCCGAATGTTCAAAAATTGTACAATGCAATAATTTCATAATTACGACCTAGCTTTGTCCTCGAGGTCGGCAGATCATAATCATAAAAAAGTAATCTTCTACATGTTACATTTGTTATAATGTTCTGCGTGCAGGGAATATTTTTCCTCATAAGAAAAAAATATGAATTTTATAAATATTTAAAAAGAAATCCAGATTATTGTTAACTTCAAAATTGACAGCATCTCGTACATAACACTATTTAATCTAGATAAAGCCAATATCGGTTTAAATATTTTTAAGATAGCTCCTAAAGCAGCTTCTGTATTATACAGGGTGTCGTTACCATCGCGACAATAAATGAACAACGCTAATTGCCAATAATCATGAAAAAATATTAACGTTAAAGAAAATCCATAATTAAAAAAAATATTACTTAGTACTTATTAGTACTTTCAAACAAACTAATTAAGTAAAAAAGAAACAAAATTTGTAACATCCTATACAACTCGCGACACAGCGTCGCATTACAAGCCTCTCCTTCTAACAGTATGTTTTGTCTCTTTTAAATTCATTCAACCCATTCATATGCTTTGTGACCTTTACAAATGAACTTTACGTTACAGTTTTATACGTAAGAGTGTTCTAAAATTCTTTGTTTTGGAAAATTTAATAACTCTGTAAATATAAAATTGTATTATACGTTTACATTTTTTAAACATCATTAAAAAATGTAAACGTATAATACAATTTTAAGAAGTTATCCCCTATATGTGTGTTCATTTACTGTCGCGATTGTAAAGACACGCTGTATACATTAGAAATTCTTGACTCGAGTTGTTGTAATGAATTCTTCACTCGAACTGTTGCAGGGCTACGCAACAGTCTTCTCTGATGCACGAACGGGTAAGTCCATCCGGGTAAGTACCACGACACAGAACGGCGTGAAGTGAAAGTGTTCAATTTCTGCGTTTCGTCTGGTGAGTGAGGTAGCCTGGGCCCACTTTGTTAAAGGTGACAACGCCTTCTGCAACCCAACGGGTGCTGCATATTTCAATAGGCGGCCGTTATCTCTCACATGCCCCTACAGTAATATACGAAACTTAACACTGTCTCTCTCTTTTTCTATCTTCACTTATATCTTCCTCTCAACTTCCTTTCGCCGTGCTAGGGCACGAAAATAGAGCGTTACGAAAAGTGTGATAGGTCACACTTTTCGTAACGCTCTCGATACACATTCACCAGCTTACTTCCCAACTCAAGCGTGCGTAACGAAGTTTTACTTCAAAAAAGTTGAAATCTCGCGACTACCCTATCTCGTTTTATGAATTCCATCTAGTTTATGCAGTGACAGCTACAGCTCCTGCGTAAAACGAGACGTATGAAACGATTAAAATATCAAAACAAGTCGCAACATCGCGCGTGCGATATTTTATTATATCGTAAAAGCGTTCCGAATGTGAAATATTTTTTTTTATAGCGCGAGCGGCGAAATGAGCTTGTTTCTTATACGCGTACATCCGACCTGAGTCATATCAGCGTATCTTTATACTACACAATAATCTATGTAGTATATGTTTCACTAGCAACCCGCCCCGGCTTCGCACGGGTGCAGTGTATGATACATATAATCCTTCCTCTTGAAACACTCTATCTAATAAAAAAAACCGCTTCAAGATCCGTTGCGTAGTTTTAAAGATCTGAGCATATATAGGACAGACAGACAGCGGGACGATTTTGTTTTATACTATCTAGTAACTATAATCTATGTTGTACATGTTGTAAGACCTGTATCTTACCTCTTCATCATCATTACATCCAGGGGCCGTTCGAGGAAGAGTAATAATGAGTTTGAGTGTATTGCCATGTTTTTAGGGTTCCGTACCCAAAGGGTAAAACGGGGCCTTATTACTAAGGCTCCGCTGTCTGTTTGTCTGTCACCAGGCTGTATCTCATGAACCGTTATAGTGAACATCTGTGAAATCTAAATAATGTGATGTGTGAAAATTTCAACATGACAGTTGAAATTTTCACAGATTATGTATTTCTGTTCCCGCTATAACAAAAAATACAAATACAAATACTACTTTTTATAGATTTTGCAACTCGCACTTGGCTTTAAATATTATATGGCTGGCTGATTAACAATACGGTGTTAATTGATGAATCGGTGATAGGTTTCAACTTTAACAAAGGGTTTGAAAACAGTATTGTAATAGTACTCGAAATATGTAAAACTGCTAATTTATTGCCGTTAACTTCTCTAACATTAGTTCAACCTAAAGGAACTTAAGGAGCGTGCCTCATTTTTCTTTGAGAAGGTAGTAAGCGAGATGGCGGCTCACTTGATGTTAATAACCGCCGCCCATGGACGTTTTCATAAAGTGAGCTCCGGCTACCTCAATCAGCAGACAAACGCAGAAGCACGACACTTCCACGCCGGTCTTCTGTGAGGTCGTGGTATTATCCGGACGGACCGGCCCGTTCGTCTTGTATCTTGTATTAACTGATGTTCTTGCTTTCAGTCCCGAGACTATCAAAGCTTCATCTGACGCAACCGGTGGGCTAGCCAGAACCCACGGGCTTGGGCCCTCCGCTGCGGGTAGGGCCGCGCATGTGCTCATGCGTGCGTTGGCCCATTCGTGAAACAGAGAAGACTGTTGCGTGGCCGTACCACAGCTCACACCTACTTCTAATACTTTCATTTATTCGTTACGTTTTAGGGTTTCGTAACCAAAGCGTAAAACGGATTCCCTGTCGTCTGTCTGTCCGCCACCAGGCATCTCGTGAACCGTGATAGTTAGATAGTTGAAATTTTCACAGATGATGTATTTCTGGTGCCGCTATAACAAGAAATATTAAAAAACAGAACAAAAATATTTTAGCGGGTCTCCCATACAACAGGCATGATTTTTTTGCTCTTTTTATAGATGATGGTACGGAAACCTTCGTGCACGAGTCCGACTCGGACTTGGCCGCTTTTTTTTTTTTCATTGCACAAAAACCTTTGAGAAGGTAAGCGGAATATACCAAAGCTGATACACACAAAGCCTTAAGGAACCAGAAAATTTAATTCATATTCCCTGTTTCTTTGTGAATTCTATTTTCGTCACAAACCGACGTGTAGACTGTTCATGCTGAAAATAAATTACGTGGCTCGTTTATGCTCAAAAGAGGTTTTCTTGCTTCGATTCGAACGTTCTCGAACAATGGGAGACGAGTAATGACGAGCGTCTCTCCTGTGTCCCGTCAACAAAGGTCGACTTTCCTCAACATATACAGACTGCGATTACTTATTTCATTCTGTTCGCTAGTAAGAAGATCGTTAATAATTACTATTTTTTGTAAAGATTTTGTATCTATTTACATTTTATTATCTACTAGCTGTGCCCGCGACTCCGTCCGCGTGGTATTGTATTATATATATTAATAAAAATAAATAAAATATCTAAAATAAAAAAAAGCCTAACTCCTTATTACATCAGCTATCTGCCGGCGAAAGTCATAATCGGCACAGCCGTGTCAGAGATAAATGTCAGTGAAAGTTGCCAAGCTAGCGGGCGGTTCACCTGATGTTAAATGAATACCCCTGCCAATGGAAATCTGCTACACCCGATGGCTTGCTGATGCGTCGACCTTTGAAAATGGGCCCCAGTTACCTCACTCCGCTCAGCAGACGAAACGCGTAAGTTTAATACTTTTAATTCACGTCTTCTGCGAGGCCGTGGTTAAGTATCCCGGACGAGCCTGCCCATTCGTGCAACAACAGAAGCTGTTGTTGGCCCTTCCTAGTCACGCGCTATCCCTAGCCACTAGGCTCTTACGTGTCCGACGTTTACCTATTTTGTTTGATGGCAGCGCCAGCTGTAGCAACTAAGCTCCACGTCTTATCCACTTTGATTGACTGAATTGTAGCAACGCTTAGCGCCATATAGTGTGCTTGCTATATAGCAAACACACTTTCACAAATGACATCTACAATAACCATTTCAAAACACCTGGCAGTTGCGACAAAAAATGCTTTTACTTGAGAATATGGCGTAGCTGGCGGTTATCCTGATTTTAAGTGATAACCGCCGCACACGGACATTTGCAACACCCGTAATAGTATAGTGTGTCAAAAAAGGGAGATTCTACATTTTTTAATTCCTCCATATAGTTCGATGTCGAACCACGAGAAAGCTCCACGTCCCACCTCTTTCGCGTTCCGTTCGATTTTCTGTAAGCTTCGATCCGCTTGTACCGAAGACGTAGACCCGAATTCCAGAAGAATCCGGTGCGGCAGCCGCGCCGTGATCGATATACGAGGTGGCAGGTCCGAGTCTATTTCTGCGCCGCGAAGGTCGGCCGCGATAAACAATGCCGCTAACAGGTGCCCACCACAGATTAGATAGCGCAGACAGGCCATATTGAAACTACGTTAACCTGTTTTGTAACACGCTTTATTATATGTCACGCGTAATTAGTAATAATTACGATTTTAAAATATCGGATTGAAACTCAAAGTAGTTTCAATTCATATGGTATTGTTTTTTTTTTAATTAAAGGTCTTTAATAAGAATAATTCAACAAGTCTTACTATCTTAAAACTAAGTTAAATAAACGTCATCTTGGCTTCATCCGACATTGGATGGGCCATAAATAGGTATTGATTAATCTGTGTTGTTATACGCTTTTGAGAAGTGAGTAATTAGTATTAATTACGATTCTGAAATGTTTGATTGAAACTACTTTATATTGGTTAATCTGTCTTGTTTCGCGCTTTTGGGAACCTCACTGTATGTAACTAGTCATCATCATCATTTCAGCCTGTTTGAGTCCACTGTTGAACATGAGCTTCCCCATAGGCTGCCACGAAGTAGGATCCACCTGCATTCATCGACTTCCCGCACACTTGCACAGGTCGTCACTCCATCTAGCGGGGGGTCGTCCTACACTGCGATGGCCAGTACGAGGCTGCCACTCGAGAACCTTTCTTGCGCAACGGTTATCGGTTCTACGAGCTTTATGTAAATACGATTCCGTAACATATGGTTGAATTTAAAAACGTCGAATAAACAGTGAAAGTAGACAAAATGAAACAATTTTAGTGATAGCGACTCACTCATATTTTAGACTTGAGGAACGAGTAACTGTGGTAGGGCCACGCAACAGTGTTCGCTGTTGCACGAATGGGCTGGTCCGAAAGTACCACGATCTCACAAAAGACCGGCGTGAAACAGAACTAATACTTCTCCGTTGCGTCTGGTGAGTAAGGAGACGGGGCCCACTTTATCACTTAACATCAGGGGTAACGCCAGCTCGCTAGCCGCTTTAGTAATAATTTTGAGGATAACTTTTTTTATGCTAGTAGGCAGGAAATAATCACGAGCTGTCAAAGAGTATGGATTCACACCTACTCAGCGGTCCAATGCATAATCAACATGAAACGACTTATTTTTGTTATCCAAAAAAAAAAACGTAACAACATTGCCTAAAATCGTTGAATAAAATGAATATAAAAAGTCCATAACGTCAAAATTATGTATTGTAGGACCACGAATGTAAAAACATTTGTAGCCTTTCCCTCTGTTTACACATAACTTGTAAGACGAAATTTAGATTGTGGTGAAAATTTTTCGCCACAATCGGAATTCGAACTTGAGCCTTTTTTATTTTTTTCCTTTGCCTCCTTTTTTCATTAAAAACGAATTTTTAGTTGAAATTTTCGTTATGCTTGGCGCCATCTAATGTGATTACTTTGCAGCAAACGTACTTTCTCAAATAATATTTTTACGGTAAATTTTTGAAAATCATAGGGATGTCGTTTATGCTACTAAGATTTAATTTTAACTTTTGACGCTAGTCAAAATTCGTGCTCCGGCCCTTATCCCACTTAGGTGTGGTCGGTACGAAAAGTTTTTTACGATGCCTGCCTGATGTCAACCCTCCTTAACAACCTAATAATTATCTGTGGGTCACACAAATACTTGTACCGTATGGGAATCGAACCCACGACGTCGGGACCGAAGCCAGAAGCTAGTCTCTGCGCATAAAATGAACATTATCGTACAGAATAGCACTAAAAACAAAAGTTAAAGCTTGTAAGACATTACACGTGCCTACCATTTTTGAGGGTTACAACAAATAATTTGTAGTTTTCTAATGTCGATAAACATTTTATAATACGCCGATTTTCTGTGAGGCGTCAGCACATCCCCGATTGAACTATTTCACACAAGAACAGATGCTACTGTCCACTGGTAGGTTCTACCTACATAATGAAGTTTCTTTTTAATGGGAGAAGATGACAAACGAGTGGTTCGCCTGATGTTAAGCGAAAACCGCCGCCCATTTGCAACATCCGTGGGGTTGCATATGCGTTGCCACCTTTTATAAAGTAGGCCCCGGCTACCTCACTCACCAGACGCAACGCAGACGTATTACGTCTATTGCACGCCGGTCTTCTGTGAGGTCGTGGTTACCCGGATGGGCCTGCCCATTCGTGCAACTGCAAAGACCCGTTGTTTCGTGGCCCTACCAAGATGGTAAAGAAAGACAGATAATACTATATCCGTCTCACCGACCTTATTAGCCCAAAAGGTGACACGGGGCATAAACGTCAAACATAAATACATGCACATAAGAAAGTAAACGAATTTAAGTTGTTTCACGTTGTATATATTTGGCACGTACAAGTATTTGTTACGAAAATGAATACATAACCATATTTTTCAATTGTTAAGATAATATCTACTGCTGTCATTGGCTAGGATAAATGAAATCTGATTTAAGACTCAAACCTCAGACCGTGAATAGTGCAAGGAAATCGAAACGTTCAAATTTAACGCAAAACGTCAAAATAACCTAAAAGTCTGCGTTATTCCTGTTAATATTGAATACAAACACATGAAAATATCGTAATATTAATCCTTACTAATATTATAAACGCGAAAGTTTGTATGTATGGATGGATGTTTGTTACTCTTTCACGCAATTACTACTGAATGGATTCTAATAAAACTTTACAATAATATAGCTTATACATCAGAATAAAAGATAGGCCATAATTTATATACATATATTATGGATATCTGTCTTTCTGTCTGAATGTTACGCCTTCAGCCTATTGTACGCAGACGTAGTCGCGGGCAGCAGCTAGTGTTTCATAATTATATGTCAGTCTTCGAATATTTTATGAACAGCAATTTATAACAGTATTCGTATTATACTCGTAATCCATGACCAGATATAATAAAGTATTGTTGACAAGTTAATAGGCTTGATTGTTTGTTATTAACCAGTTTCACGCCGCGGGTCGTGGGATCGATTCCCTGATTATAAGTGATAGTTAGTCCACAGATAATTAGTCCGCATCTGGATTTGTGTGTGCGATAAATTATATATATGTTTATATAAATATGTGTTCTTATAACCCAGAATATTGCTATCCTGTAGTAAGGGAATACATTTAAAAATATTAAAATTAAAAAAAATACAGCCGGTCGATCCCGTTGACAAGTAATAAGTCTTGGAAGAAAATATATATGTTTATATTTCCCATTAGATGTTACACAGTTACATAATTATCTGTACAAAACATTATTTTAGCAAGTGCATGCAACACAAACAAAATGAACAAATTTCGCCAAAGAAAATGTGAAAAGATACATTATTTTTCCGTAAGTTGTGGCACTTCGATCGCTGATCATGAAAAGAAGAAGGAAAAACAATTAACTGTCGATTACATTAACACCTACTTCTTAAATAACCGACGTCTGAATGTAATTAATTATATTAACACGATAGTGCGATATAGCCATTTTCTACATCGAATGTCCTCATTTTTAAATCGTGTTCACTTTTTGAATATAGACATAATTATATAAATATACATAAATGAATAATTATAAAGAACTTTGATTACATCAAGGTATTTTTGAAAAGTTGATGCGTAATGAATGTTTTTTTTTTTTTTTCAATAATGTTAGGAAAAGTTCAGACGAACGCCCGATGTGTGTGTATTTTTTTGAAGTGACTTTGATTATGCCGATGTACATTTGTGTTTTAAAGCGTTATTATTTAATACCAACCGCATTTTGGACCAATTGGCAAAGTAAATGGGAAACATGTCTCTGACGGCAGAGCGTGTCGGTTGGGTCCCCGTATCGGAAAGTGACGAACATGGTGTTTTTCTAGGATCTGGGTGCTTATATATCTTCTTATATATAAAAATGGATTGCTGTTCGTTAGTCTCGCTAAAACTCGAGAACGCCTGGACCGATTTGACTAATTTTTGTTTTGAAATATTTGTGACGGTCCAGGGAAGGTTTAAACGATGAGAAATAATGGAAAAATTGCATGGAAAATCGAAATAGCAAAAATTTTATTTTCCCATACAAACTGTATCTGTAAACCTGTCAACCATGTCTGTGTAACCTGTCAAACACTTTATGCGTGCGTTCCGATTCGTCTAGAAATAATTTATATGGCAAAACAACGTTTGCCGAGTCAGCTAATCTATATATACAAAAATGAATTGCTGTTCGTTAGTCTCGCTTAAACTCGAGAACGGCTGGAGCGATTTGGCTAATTTTGGGTTTGAAATATTTGTGGCAGTCCAGGGAAGGTTTAAACGACGAGAAAGTATAGAAAAATTGCATGGAAAATCGAAATAGCAGCAAACGCTTAGTTTGGGACTAGATAACGTTTTTTAAAAATGTGTCCTGAAATATTCATTTATATCGAAACTTCGCATTTCTACAAAAAAATGCTATTATATCTCTGAGTAATACACGCCTACGAGTACTTAGTGGTAAAGTTACATTTATTTCTAGAATTATTAATATTTAAGTTTACTTATTTTAGTCCCAACCTAAACTTGAGATAAATTTAAATGCGAGTTTAATAGACAGACTTTCGAAACATTTTTCTGTACAGCGGGATTCGAACCTCCGTGTTCTTGGTTAATTATAATATATATAATTTAAATAACTGAGCTGTGAGGTCGAAGACCCTTACATTTAAATTGCGATTATTAAAAACAAGTGGTGACACTGGGTGACCATCTACGCTTTTAGTTAAAAGTCATAAGCGCACAAACAGAAAAACATTTCTTTTTATAGAAGAAGATGGCAAGCGGGCTGGCCGTTCATCTGATGACGTGATAACCGCTGTCTATGGAGATTTGCAACACCCAATGTGTTTTTAATTCAATAAATTGGGAACCTGTTGCCACACTCACCATAAAACGCAGAAGTGTAACACTTTCACTTCACGCCGATCTTCTGTGAGGTCGTGGTAATCCCCCGGACGGACCTGCCCATTCGTGCAACAACGAAGACCAAAACAAGGGACATGAAGACAAAGAGAAGTGTATTTTATGATGTAATTAGTTAAATTAAATCCGATCAACCGCGTAATGCGCTAAGACGTAAACGAGCGATAAATTTATATTAAGTATTGCAACATGAAAAACGAAATGACATCAGAATAAGACATGTGTTAAACATAATATTACGCTGGTAATTAAGGTTTTGTATACGTTACATATTCTATTTCATTAAAAACACCACACAAAACGAAATAAGGTAATCCTTCGTTACAGAGGCGCTTTTACACGAGGATCCATCTTCTCGCATTCGAAGCTCTTAATAGACATCTTCACGACCCCACCATCCGAAACGAATTGACATAATGGTTCCGTTTCACGCCACTACCATTGGAAAAGCAATAGAACAAAAGGCCCATTTCACGCCAGTCTTCTGGAATTCCGTAGAGGGCGAACCGTGTTATTAGTGTCTTTATATCATATATGTAGTAAAAATATTCGAGTTTTATTAGAGACTTTCAACCCCAATACAGTCCTCCCTAAGAAAATAAACGCGAAACATAAAATAATAAAGTCGAAAGGTGTCACGGGCATTCAAGAAGCCTAAAGCCCGATTTACCCTGGTCAGTACAGTAGACAAGTATATTGTATGAACAGTAGTGTTAACCGTCGGACAGTGGCAAGTCGACTTGGCTGTCACCACTGTACTGTACTACTGTAAGTACCACGACCTCACAGAAGATCGGCGTATAGTGGAAGTATAATACTTTCGCGTTTCGTCTGGTGATTGAGGTGGCCGGAGCCCAATTTTCAAAAGGTTCCCAACGCATCTGCAACCCTCGGGTGTAGCAGATATCCATGGGCGGCGGTATTCACTCAACATCAGGTGAACCGCCTGCTCCCTTGGTAACTTTTCACATAAAAATAAAAAGAGAAACAAATAATGAGTACTGTACTTACTCGCTTGACAGTGTAAATCGGGCTTTGAACTCCAAAGACAACGAAATAACCACACGCGGCCGTAAATACATGATCGATAACCGACATTTGCATAATGTTGTTTATTTACGAAGAGCACCGTCTGTTGCGAATTGCTCGGAAGTTTCTGGCTCTTTATTTACGACGTATTACACTGCGTAGTATTACGCGTAAAGGTTTAGCAGTGTTATTTCAGCTTCCCGAGAACAGGCTAAGACTAACTATTAAATATGCGTCTTTGTTTACTAAGATAACTATGAAATTTCAACACATGATGACTCCGTGGCGCAGCCGCCAAGGTATCTGCTTCGGCGTCGGGGGTCGTGGGTTCGATTCACACACGGGACAACTATTTGTGTGTCCCAAAGATAGTTGTTTCGCATCTATTTATTTATTGATAGAACCACCAACGGAATAACGTGTTGTTTTGTTATAAAAACTATAGACTTAGGAAGTAAGATTTACATGTTTCCATTTAAAGGTAGTTACAGCGTGTTTGAAAAGACGATAAGTGTACGATAACTCAATAATAATTACAAGTATGACTAAAATACTAATATGAAACTACAAAAAAAAAAAACAATTTATATCATAAATTTTATCATAATTATATCATATCAATTTATATCTATATTTTGTTCACGCGAAGTTTATGTTTGTTTAACTTCTTTGCAACACAAGATAATGTTATCCTAAAACAAGGGCATTGTTTTTTTTTTTAAAGACAAAAAACCTTTCGAAAGCCAACAGAAAAATTTCGAGTGACCTAGCGACAACATTCATGTGTAAATTTATTCGTCTGTGCCATTAGCATTGCTAAAAACACCTTCGTGGAAGCTGTTTGTAATATTTCAATAAAGATGGTTTAACAGAGAGAACCAAAGGTACATTTAAATACGGGAGATAGTTAAATGGACAGTTTTATTTTTTTCGGACGAAAAAGGCGTTGTAGATAGATATTGAAATTTCATCAGATTATACCTCGAGTACTGTTGAATACTGTTCAAATACAGACTTTGTGGCAGAGCAAAATATATTCAGCAAATCAGCGACTAAAAGAAACAAATTGTTATCTGTCCTCATCAGCAGAACACGCGTGTAGAATTATTTCGATATTCAAATAATTGCCTCTGCCTAGTTACGGTACGGTAATAATGGTAATTAATATAGTCTTCGTATCTTATTGCTCGCTATTTAACTTTTTCGTAAAAGTCCCTACTAGTTTCTTCAATTAAAATAGTATTATTTGTTCAGTACGTGGATAATGGATGCAACATTTTAATACCTCAACGCCGTAAATGTTCTGTTTATATCATAAATTGTCCCTAATTAAATAAAATAAAAATCGATGCACTATAAAGAGTTAGTAATTGTTATGGATAATGTTTAAGATTGACTGTTACTCGACCTCATTAATGCCCGTTCCCTATATTCAACGAACGGCCGTTAGTTGCATAGCTTCGTAACTTTCATAACGACTAGTAGATAAAAGGCGTGTACGCCCAGTTCCTATATTAACAAAACTAGGCGTTTCCCTTACGATCCGTTGCGTTACCTACGGAGAGTGAGTTAATAGCGTTCCTTTAATCTACAAGTCGTTATGAAAGTTACGAAGCTATGCAACTAACGGCCGTTCATTGAATATAGGAACCGGGCATAAGACCTCATAACGTTTCCTTCTGGATGCTTCTCATTGATGCAACTAGAATTTTCCATGCAAGAAGAGAATAAACTCTGATAGCGGTCAGTTTATTTAAGTGTCTAACAAGTTTCTGCAACCGACGTGGAATAACAGCAGTATCCTGATTGCTAAGGTCTATACTTCTACTACTATTAGTAGTAGAAGTACAGACAGCACAGAGGTGCATAAGGCATGTACTTGACTAATTAGAAATGAAAAATTGTATTCTATGAAATCACATTAATGCGATTGTTTGTAGCGTTATTCTGTGTAAAGTATTGATGAGCATCATCACTGTCATTAATTTTATAATCATGATGAAATTTACACGAATTTGAATCAAACATAGACTGTTTAAAACTTGAGTTGTTTCTGATTACAACGGTGTTAATTTTCTCGGTACAGAATTGTTTGTTGTAACAAATAATAATCACTGTTGTTATATAAAACAATAAATATTAGATTCATCGACCTCAAGTTTGACGATATTGATAATTAGATAAAACTTTATGTCGAATGCACTAAGATGCATTTACGCCTTATTTCATTTATTTATTCAATGCTTTACAGAAAGTTATGAATTTTAGATAAAAACTAATAACGATAGAATAGTCCGAGCAAAACCAGTACCTATTATTAAGAAACATTTAGTATATTTCTTAAAGTATAACATATACGCCTTTTCTCCGATCATCTGCTATGTTCTAAAATACACGAATATAAGTACACGTGTATTAGATAGAAAGAGAAGTTGAAGAATGTGAATAATGTATCTTTCCACTCACTTGCTGTGTAGCCGAAGTCATCTTCTTCCTCTGGGTCTGCTTCCTTCTCTTCTCTAGTGCGCTTGATCGCTCCGGCGGACGCGCGATCGATCTAGAAGTAAACAGCTTTAGATGATTTATTTGATGAAGTAGTTTAGTTTGGGTCAGTGCTATAGGGTCATCGTGTAAATTTCATCAGTCGAGTAATATTTGATTTTTACCTATGCCTAAAATTGTTTAAGGACTATTTTTCTTTGTGGGTAACAAAAAGTAAAGCGTATACATGTCCCACTGCTGGGCAAGGGCTTCCTCTGTACAGAGGGTATTATAGCCGAGTCCACGCGCCCTCACTGCGGATTGGCGAACTTCACATGTAGTCAAAATATTTTTTTAAATATACAGGTTTCCTCACGATGTTTTCTACCCCGCTAAGCACGATTAACAATTATTCTTTAGTGCCGGTACCGAGGATCGAACTCAGGCGAGCTCCCGCACACTGAGCTATCACGGCTCGTGGCTATTTATGCGGGTGCAAAAAAAAATAAAGCAGAATAGTTTTGGTGACTTTTTTAATTTCTCCAAGGTATGAATGCACATTTATCGATTTATTCATATCACAACTAATTTAATATTATTTATTTAATATTTTAGTTTTGCTATTGTGGTATTTTATGGGGTTTCCTTTTGACTTGGACAATTATTTAAATACCAAGTATTACAGAAGACTGGCGTGAAGTGGTAAAGTTATACATCTACGTTTCGTCTAGTCAGCGAGGTAATCGGAGCCCCCTTTATTAAAAGGTGGCATCGCATCTGCAACCCTAGGGGTGTTGCAAATGCCCATGCGTGGCGGTTATCACTTAACATCAGGTGAACCACTAGCTCACTTGCCATCTTTTTGCATTAAAAAATACATATTCACTCCAATACTGAGTAGTGTGAAATCAGCTTACCTCAACACCCTTTTCTGTGTAGGTTCTGCCGCTTAGTTCCCGTACATCCTCTTCGTCGCTGCTATCAGAGTCTGAGTAGACTGGCTTAGAGGATTCCGTCTCCGATGATCCCTTCTCTTTCGTCTCTTTCTCCGAGTCTATTACCCCCTCTTTCTCTGTGCCGGCTTCCGAAGTCACTGTTATCTGTTAACGGTTATGCACTTATTATTATTTCAATCATTAGAACTGCTCCATACACTAGAGAAAACAAGTACGTATTTATTAACAAGAAAAACCCGAATCTCACTCTATATAGCTATTTGATATTGAGGAGTTCCCTGGCGTGTCTCGGAGTCCAAGGATCAATACCAATGAAATAATTATGGGACCACAAGGGACAAAATCGGACGATAGGTCACAAATGAAAATATGTCTTCTTCTATATTGATAGACTGGTGATGACTGGTTCTATATTTGTGGACTGGTGGCTGACTAGAAGTCTGGTGAGTGGGGTAGACGGTGACGGTAGTCTTGTCGTGTCTACGAAAGAAATGGGTACTTATAGATTCGACTCACCTTAATGTCATGTTTCGGTGCTCGGTCTATCGGTTTTGGCGCTGGCGTCTTCTTGTGCGAAGGTTTCCGTGATGGCGCTGGCGATGCGTCCACGTCAGATGAGTCGGTATTCTGAACGGTAGATGGTAACACTTATTTCCTTATAGCATTTCATTTTACAAAAAAAAATGTCAATAGTTACATTATATGTAATTTGAAGAGATTTGTTGTAATTATAATTATTTAATCGAAGATTGAATCGGAAAATTTACCTGATGTTTTAGGTTAGAATAGCCTAAATATCTGATATTTAGGCTATCCTAACCAATGGGACACCAATGGGACAATAGACTTGAGAATGGAATTGGAAAATGAATGGAGCATATTTTTTCAATATAGTCCTATAATACTTACGTTGTAAAAACATAAATTTTCACATGGACAAACACCCAGATACGAAACAATTATCTGTGAGTCACACAAATAGTTTTACCTTGTGGGAATCGAACCCACGAACTCCGACGCCGAAGCCTGGACGAATACCTGGACAACTGCGCGACGAAGTTCTCAAAATTAAAGCATTTGTACTATTTAATCAAGTCCCATAATTAGACCCAACATATGTATTTCATAACGAATTGCGGTATTTACGAAAACGGTAATTGAAATGTTTCACCGATCTGATTCATATCAGCAAGTCTTAGTTTTCGCAAAGCGTAGGTTTCCCTTACCCACGCTATCAAGCTCTGTACGGTGAGGGTTACGGTGTTACCGGCAGCTTTTATAAGCTGCACGGCTCTCTCATGCTGGGCGGTTCTAACGCACACCCCGTCTACCTCCAGGATCCTGTCACCGGTCTGGAAAACGAAATTGTATTTTATGTTGCCGTGGTAGGTCTAGAATGGTGGTTTAAAATCATGAGAAACAAAGAAATCAATCATGGTTCAAATCCAACGTTTTGTTCATACATTTTTAATTTCCAATTAACGTTACCGTTAAATATGAATGTATTCGGTTTCACTTTGACTTCTGCTTTGTATGACATCCGCTTAGTGTGACGACTTCGGTCATCGTTTCCCTTGCAACGTCTCACAATAATTTTAAAAGACTAACCTGCAGTTCTCCACATCGTTTCCCTTGCAACGTCTCACAATAATTTTAGAAGACTAACCTGCAGTTCTCCACATCGTTTCCCTTGCAACGTCTCACAATAATTTTAAAAGACTAACCTGCAGTTCTCCACATCGTTTCCCTTGCAACGTCTCACAATAATTTTAAAAGACTAACCTGCAGTTCCCCACATCGTTTCCCTTGCAAGGTCTCACAATAATTTTAAAAGACTAACCTGCAGTTCTCCACAGAGGCCGGCCGGACTGTCGGGAACGACATTCTTGATGAATATCCCGAATATGGCTTTGTCATCTCCGTTAGCGGTGTTCTGGTGTGATATTATATCGACCTAGTTGAACACAAGGGGGTTATTTATTATATAGATTCTAAATTATTAACTTAACTAAAGTGTATGGTTATCCTGTCACGCGAAAATTTTACTTAGTAGAAGCATTAGCGTCATCAAATTCAAAATTATTTTTAAAGTCTCACCCTCATTCAAGGTCGATTATGGTATAAACTCTACGGTTACTTGTAAGTAATACATGTTTCGAAATAATAAGCTAGAACGAGATATGTAGATCAAACCTATCAAAAGCGAGGCATCATGCCAGTGTAAAATAAGAGTTAATAACACACAACTTGGCACTTATTGCAATGATATCAATTTGTTTGTTCTGTATTGCAACAACAGATAAACTGTAAGATATTTCGAATTTAAGCCCACTAACTAACAAATGCTTGGGGTCCTCAATTATCACCGAATGGAACATTCAGAATTGCCAAAATTTCAAATTAAAGTCTTACACCGCTTTTGCACGAATGGGCTGGTCCATCTGGGTATCACGATCTCACAGAAGGCCAGCGTGTAGTGGGAGTGTTATGCTTCTGCGTTTCGTCTGGTGATACAGGTAGCTGGTTCCCACTCTATTAAAACGTTTCACCGAAATGTCAATAGGCGACGGTTGTCACTATACACCAGGTGAACCGCCAGCTCGTTTGCCACCTTCTTACATAAAAAAAATGGATGGAACGTCTTTCAAACTTAATTCCTTAGCTTAGAGTTACATTGTTATTTTACAAGCCGATCTGATACGCCTCACGTGTAATGCGCGTCAATTAAGAACCAATTTCCCACAAATTTCCAAGGAAAGGAATTACAATCCCCGCGTGGAATAACTAATCGGAAAATTACACCTTCCCCAGAGAAACGGGGATTGACTTTGAAAAACCGTGCGGTTTATAAATCGGGACAAGTTAATCGACGAACACTGATTTTATTAAATTAATGATTTACGGAATACAATTAATATAAAATAATATTGCTAATCTTTGCACTTATTATATTTTTTTCTATGTGAAAAGTTGCCAAACGAGCAGACGGTTCACCTGATGTCAAGTGAATGCCGCCCTTGGACTTACTACACCCGAGGGTTTGCAGATGCGTTGACAAATGTTTTGGAAATTGGTGTCCGGCTACCTCAACCACCAGACGGAACGTATAATACTTACACTTTACGCCGGTCTTCTGTGAGATCGTGGTAATTACCCTGCGAGCCTGCCCATTCGTGCAACAGCCGAGGCTGCTGGGTGGCCCTACCACAGTTTAGATTAAACATTAAAATTTGCATAAAAAATGGACGAAAAGTTTTTCGCCCCTGCGGGAATCGAACCTCAGCTTCCGGATTGGCGCCCAGTCCCTTTAAGCACTAAGCTAAACGGCTGATTGCCACGCCGAATCGTATCGTATTTTATATACACAATTTTTTTCCGCAATTTAAGCAATGTTTTGCGCATCTATTATTGTCCTTAAGAGCAAACAAACAAAATACGATATTGATAACACTGAAGAGGATTTTTCTTTTTTAATTTTTAATTTTATGTCCGATCTGCGCAGAATGAATATTATTTTCTTATCTCGCAGTGGTAGTTCGTTTGAGCCTCGATTTATTTTTTTTTTAAATACGACTCCCAGCTGATATATCCTACTTAAATATGGTTTAATTTAGTAACATGAAATCGCGTAAATAGAAGAAGTTATCGAGCAAACTCACTTTCTCAAATGACGTTGTTACAATGAACATTTCACTACTGGAGATGTAACTTTTGCTATATTTTTTTTTATTTGTATTTCTAGTGCTGGTCTCTGCATTAAGAATGCAACCTAAAATGTGTATATAATTGTCTCACCTTGCCGCCGACAATGCTGACCCCCAAAGGTGATCCAGGGCTCCTTTTCAGGGTGACACTCCGCGGAGGGCCCCAGCGCTGCGCGCCCCCCGCGTGACGGTCGGGGGAGACGGTGACCGTCATGCTTGGATGGGTGACGTGGCTGCTGGTAAAAGAAGCACTGTCTAAAGATGGCGCTATGGGTATGGTGCAACTGGTTACAACCAAGTGGCGGTCTTCCTGGCCGACATTGCGTGCTTGAGAGTTCTATTCCGAAACGGGACAAAAAGTACTCTACCAGAAGTTAATTTTTATTAAAAAAAAGTTAAACAAATAATTTAAAGGAAGAATACAAAACGGTTTTAGCTTAAGAAAAAAAATTACTATCAATAGAAGAAAATACGTATGTTTCTTATGTCGATGAATAAATGATTTTTATTTTGATAATTTCAGTCTTTGTGAGTAGTGGACTCAACCTGAACATAGGCCCCTCGGACCGCCACAAAGCACTATCCTGAGCCACCTGAATCGATTCCAATTACCACAGTCTGTTCCCCGGGCATCAATAATACACATTTCTCGAATCATTGAGAGTTTAAAAAACGATACACGAAACAAAATCCCTAAAATTAACTGCAACTTAACATTCACGTAAACGAACGGTACCGTACACTACGAGTAGAACCAACTTTGTCAGCATGGAATACGTTAAGACTCGAACCGGACGCCGCGCGGTGGTATACCCTCACCTCGACTTAGCGCGCGTGAGTTCCCGTAGGCTCGACAGACACCAGCGCATTTCAAGCGCCGGTCGATTATTAACCCGACATCAGCGTTTTGCATACACCGCCATTGCGAATGGGGCTCAATTTAAAAACCAACTAACTTTATCCGATCGGCCCATCGGACCATTGCGTGAAGTACTGTCGAGAGGAAAACTGTTACGATACGTTTTAATTTCTAGCCTATGATAGACGTCACGTTTGTTGCCTCAACGTCTCATTAATTTATAGAATATCTTAGCTTTAAAGAGTTTTAAGGAAAACTGTTTCTATTACGGGTTTCCCTGTGTTTGATCGAAACTTAAATTCCCATACGCAATTTTACCATTAAATAAATGCACTCCGTCTGCAGAACATGTTGAATCTTAATTCCGCAACAAAATATCTAGCTCCTTTGCTTTTCTAGTTATGTTCCTAGTATTTTAGACATACAGACATACAGTCTATATAGACACATTATTCATATGAACACAACCCGTAGAAACAGTGTTGTTGTTCAATTGTTGTTCGTCATTACCATTCTTCTCACTTGGCTACCGTGACACTCTTTGTTCGACAACGAGATATCTGTGACAAGGAAGCTGACCTAACACGTGTAAAACAAATTCTGCTGAAACCGGGTACAGTGGACCCGTTCCACTTTTACCATATGTCAAATCAGCAAGCCAAGCGATCTTGAAACAGGCTCCCATTAAAACATTTTAACAGCCGTTGAAGAATAAAAGTCAGTTTTTACCACCTGTTGAGTGTATTCGTCAGCGAAATTCAGGAGTTAAATTCCCGAGTCCAGAATAAAGGTCGGTTGTGAATGTGGTCCCTGATATACAGGACAAACAAAAAAGCAATAAATGCCACCGCGGAAAAAGTATAGTCGTTAAAAATGATAAAGCACATAATACAAGTCTACCATTTAAATAACCCCGACCACTACATCAGATTTCATTAAATACAGATTCTCGCAAAAGGATATGGATTCCTTCCAAGATGGATTGGCAAAACAATTGAACATTTCCATATAATATCATTATCGCATACTCTCAAAACTCAATGCAATCAAAATTCCTAATATCAAATCCTTACTAATATTATAAAGGCGCAAGTTTGTAAGTATGGATGGATGTTTGTTACTCTTTCACGCAAATACTACAGAGGTGGATTTAATGAAACTTTACAATAATATAGCTTATACATCATAATAAGACATAGGCTATAATTTATATACATATTTTATGTATATCTGTCTTTCTGTCTGAATGTTACGCCTTCAGCCTATTCTACGCAGACGTAGTCGCGGACAGCAGCTAGTCTGATATAAACGTCGGATCCCACGCCTAGTCTACGTGGAATAAGTAATCATTTTATGGCACAATGTATACGTTTTTACAACAAAATCTCAGAAAACGTTCAAAATGCATTAATTGCCAAAAGTAAAGTATACGTTTATGTGTTAAAGGCTTTATACTCGTAATATCAGATATTATTTAAATGCTAACACACAAATAATCGATCCCTCCAGGTTCTTTCAAATGGCATGACATGTTTCTTTGTTAAATAATGGTACAGACTGCGCTCGATGAAGCGTTAATAGTCTCGGGACTGAAAGCATTAACATCAGTTAATACATTGTACAGAGAAAATGCCCTCAGAGTTTCTTTCGCCGGCTTCTTTTCCTTACCGCCAGTAGTATTTTGACAACCAATAAGCAAGTGCAATGCTTATGTATTATATTATGTATATATTTAGAGATATTTGTATTTGTATACAATATTTGTATACAAAATTTGTATACAATTTGTATACAATTCTATTAAATTAGCCGTGGCACTTTCGCGCGCGATTATACGGGATGCCTACAGTTCAATCACTTAGTACGAGACGGATGAGTGAACACGCCTCGTATACAGTGCAGCGATATGTGCCACTGTGTTCTGTTTCAACATTGCCAACGCTATAGCAACCAACAAAGTGAATGTCTCTTTTTGTACGCGAATACTACGAGATTGTCTAGCCCATTAGATTAATTAATATAACAAATCAAGCTAGCCGAATAAAGGGCGAAAAGATCTCGTCTCTGCGGGAACCCAAGTCTTCCGGGTTTGCGCCCGAACGGTTTAAATACTAAGCTAAACGGCTGATTGCCATACTAACGAAACATCTCACCGTCTTCTATCCACAATGGTTTTTTTTGTATTTCAACATGTCCTTTACAACACAAACAATCGCAAATATCGTGATTAAACAATTTGAACGAGAGATGTCGCCATTGCTATGTATGAGATTTAATTCTTTATAGTGGTAATTTCTGCATTGAAAATGAAACATAAAAATTGTACAGAAAAGAACGAAAATATTCTCGCCGCTGCGGGAACTGAACCCACGTCTTCCTGGTTCGCGCCAGGAGAATTTAACGTTTCATAATGAGTGCGGAGATAAGCACTACAAAAAATACATTTAAAACTAACCGAATTGCGTTATGAGATATGGTTAGAGATCATTTTTTCAACGAAAAACAAAAACGACTTCAAATATCTCGCTCTGTATTCATTTTATAATTGATTTTCGGGAGTTCCCTACTTATCTCGGAGCCCAAGATCCAATACCGATGAAATTAATATGGGACCACATGGGAAGCGCCAGCTTTCAAATAAAATAAGAATCATCAAAATCGGGTCACTTAGTCCGAAGTTCTGAGGTAACAAACATAAAAAAAATACAGTCCAATTGGGAAGGTCCTTCTTTTTTGAAGTCGGTTAAAAAGTGATGGTAGGCACATACTTTATTCCCACATCCACAACACCACCTGCAATATCACACCTTTGCCACTTTAAGATCTTGCGTAAATTCCGATCGGTGACCGGTTTAGGACTAATCTTCTCACCTGTCTCTTAGGAAAATGTATACGTTTTTCTGCCTCGTTTAGAAAATTAACCTAAACAGTAAAATTACTGGCTCTTAAAGAATTGAAAGTCGTAAAAGCCGTTCACTGTTTTGATCTATCGTCGTGAGATCAACATGATAGCAACTGGTTAATCAAATTAGTTATGAATGGACAGTTGCACGGATGCTGCAAATCGTTCTTGATATCAGAGTTATATAACTTGTTAATATTATATAACTTAGACATGACACGCTAACTTAGTTATTCAGTTTTGTCACGTGCTCAGTGGTGAAGGAAATTATCGTAAGGAAACCTGCATATTTTCCATGGAATAACAAAAAAAATATTTTGAAGATATGGAAAGTCCGCCAATCCACATTGCGGCCCCGTTGCGGACTGTTCCTTAATATCCTCTGCATAGATGAGACTTTTGACCGGCAATGGGAAATATATGGATTATTTTACCAATGTTTCAGTCACGGATGGCATAATGGATTATGTGGTAACCCCCCAACTTTAAATTGTTATGCGTTAGGTCCCCAAATGGGTCAAAATTTGTGGGATCAGCGTCGGTGTTACAAAATTCGATTACTCTTACCAACCGACTTCAAAAACGGAGGAGTTTCTCAAATCGACAGGATTTTTTATATATATTTTTTTTAATTTTTTTTATGTTTGTCCCAGTCAGATAATAGCTACCGATCGAGCCGAGGTCCCGCCCTCTCGGGCACCCACGAATCGGAATGCTAAACGCGTGTTGAGTGACAGCCCAAGCCGAGGTTCCCCCGGGAGCCCTCGAGCTTAGTCTCCATAACGCGTAATAATAATACGCCGCCGGTCCAGGCCAGGCGCCCCGTGCGCCAGGCCATCTCAAGCCCGTCGGAACTGTGAAGGCCCCTAAGGCCAACAGTGGCTCATCCAGCCCAAAAAAAAATTGTTTGTTACCACAGAACTTTCGACTGAGTGAGCCGATTTTGATGATTCTTATTTTATTTGAAAGCTGGCGCTTCCCATGTGGTCCCATATTAATTTCATCGGTATTGGATCTTGGGCTCCGGAGATACGAAGGGAACTCCTGAAAATCATTTATGAAATGAATACAGAGCGAGATATTTGAAGTCGGTTTTGTTTTTCGTTAGTAAAAAATGGACTTGTTAAGTGCTAAATAATGTAAAAACCTTTCGTTACGACATCAACTACTCATTAAAGGCGGTAACCGTGTCCGTCGTTGTTCCGTGAGACCTGTCGACGTTAATTAATTAACGCATGTACGGTTAATGGCAATTATTAATTGCAGTCGTTACGTCATACTTTGTAAACAAAGGATATTCGCACTCGACGTAGGTACGAGGAAATTTCTAGCGGTTTTGTTATCCTCTTTTCCCGTTTGTGAAATCAAAACGAGATACTTAATAAGGTTTTATTGATAAAGATTATTACTTTTGTGACATATCAATTTGAAAGATATTATAGCCGGATATTAATAAGCACTGTTGGTAAAAAGGTCAGTATTGTCTCTGTTTGAAGGAGAGTATCTGCGAGGGGATTCAGGGCCTCTCCTGTAGTTGCTTGAATTGGCAGACTCGTCCGTGGCGTATCAAGTAGGAAGAGCTATATTTCATATATCGTTTGGTGACTGAGGTGACCAGGGCCCAATTCATTAAAAGGTGACAATGCAGCTGCATCAATAGGGCGTTATCACTTAATACAGGTGAACCGCCAGCAAAAAAAGTTTGTATTCAAATTGAAACCTTCAAATAGCCACTGGGCCACTTCGCTTCAAAGTTCTATCGGAGAACGTATAAACGCTTCAACGGATCCAACAGTTAACACGCTCCGTCGACTGGATAATTCGCAGCGGTGTGCAAATACGTTAACTAGTTTCATCTATAACTAGTTTTACGAGAACTGTTACTCATTAGTAAAGAAGATACAACTGAAACGTTTTTTTGTACATAAGAATGAAAACACCTTGAGGATATCTTCAAAATAATTATAATAATAAAAAAAGTATTTCCAAGATGTTTGTCAGTCCACAAGATATTGTGTGGTGGACTATGGCCTACCCTTTTGTACGGAGGAGGCTTTTGCCCAGCGGTGGGGCGTACATAGGCTATTGTTTTCCAATGGACAAAACGT